ATTTGGGTTGCTGTGTGGTTTTTTGGGCTGTATGGCCATAGAATCATAGAATCTTCCAAGATCTCATGGGCCATCCAGTCCAACTCCCTGTCAAGCAGCCTATTTCAGGTTCCAGTAGCATTCTCTCCTGACATTTCACCTGCATCTATGGCTGGCATCTTCAGTTGGGAATGAGGCCAGGGGAGTGTATATCTATCTGAAATGTCCAAGGTGGGAGAAAGAACCCTCGTCTGTTTAAAGCAAGTGTGAATATATTGCAGTTAGCAAGCTTGATAAGCATTGAGTAGCCTAGCAGCTGCAAAGTCAATCAGTGGGGGTATTTGCATAGAGGTCGCCTGGCTGTTGTTTGCCTGGAGGCATCCTTTGTTTATCTGGGACTTGATTATTTGCTGTCTGAAATTCCCCCTGTTTCTGGCCACAAAAGTCTTCGGCAACACGTGGAATTCATTCATTTCTTAAAATCCTGAAGTACATAATCTGAAGGTAATTATCTATATAAATAAAAATGTAATGTTCGTTTGTGGGATTAACAGAACTCAAAAACCACTGGATGAATTGATATCAAATTTGGAGCCAAGACACCTAACAACCCAATGTATGTCCTTCATTCAAAAAAATTGATTTTGTCATTTGAGAGTTGTAGTTGCTGGGATTTATAGTTCACCTACAATCAAAGAGCATTCTGAACCCCACCAAGGATGGAATTGAACCAAACTTGGCACACAGGACTCCCATGACCAACAGAAAATACTGGAAGGGTTTGGTGGGCAGTGGTCCTTGGTTTTGGAGTTGTAGTTCACCTACATCCAGAGAGCACTGTGGACTCAAACAATGATGGATCTGGACCAAACTCTACACAAATACTCAATATGCCCAAATGTGAACACTGGTGGAGTTTGGGGAAAATAGAATCTTGACATTTCGGAGTTGTAGTTGCTGGGATTTATAGTTCACCTACAATCAAGAGCATTCTGAACCCCACCAATGATAGAATTGGGCCAAACCTCACACACAGAACCCCCATGTGGGCCACAGCAACGCGTGGACGGCTAGTCTATATAAATAAAAATGTAATGTTTGTTTGTGGGATTAACATAACTCAAAAACCACTGGATGAATTGACACCAAATTTGGACACAATACACCTATCAGGCCAACGAGTGACCATCACTCATAAAAACACTGAAAAACACAGCAGAGGAGACTTAAAAAGCCAAAAAATATAAATACATTACAACACATGCGCAAAACCAAATATATAAACATATACACAAATATATACACACATGTATACACACTATACACACACAAAACACATATACACAGACTGGGCCACAGCAATGCGTGGCAGGGGATGGCTAGTGATATATAATAATAATATATTATTATTATTATTATATATTATAATGTCCAGTAAGTGGTTCTCAACCTGTGGGTCCCCAGGTGTTTTGGCCTACAATTCCCAGAAATCCCAGCCAGTTTACCAACTGTTAGGATTTCTGGGAGTTGAAGGTCAAAAACATCTGGGAATCCCAGGTTGAGAACCACTGCATTAAGGCATCAAGAAAGCAACAGTGTCACTATCTCAGCCACTCAGATGGATATTTTGGAGTATTGTGGATATTGGAATTCTTGATAAGAGATGCAGTTGTCTGAAGCTACATCACCCTCTGGTGGATCTCAGCTGCATTACAGCTAAGGAATTCTGGTACCCTATTATTCTCAGATATATGTAAAGCATTTCTGAAATCATATACACCAGGCATGCAAGAGCTTCAGACTTGCAATATAGGATAACAGGCACTGAAAAGTAGTGGCTGGTGATTCCTATGTCAGTGGGATGGTATACCTGTTTAGGGTTCTAGTCTGAACTTTGGATAGATTGGGTTGTTGTAGGTTTTTTCAGGCTATATGGCCATGTTCTAGAGGCAATATAGCCCGAAAATACCTACAACAACCCAGTGATTCCGGCCATGAATGCCTTCGACAATACTTTGGATAGCTTCTTTAAAGTTCAGACTATCATCCGAAACTTCTTCAATCAGGTTTAGTATTTGGAGGAATCAAATGAAGTTTGGACTAAAACCCAGAGCCGAGCCATAGTTCCACTGACATGGAATCATCACCTGCTGATTCTCCTGAATTCAGTTTTGACTTATGGCTCTCCGGGCCATGCTGTCAACAGGCTTGGCACACTCATGGCAGCTATGGCTTCCTTGGTCATAGTGTAGTGGTATGTGTGTTGAACTATGTCTCTGGAGACCAGGGTTTGAATCCCTACTCAGCCATGAAAGCCACTTAGTGGTCTTGGGCAAGCCACATTCTCTCAGCCTCAAAGGAAAGCAAAGCAAACTCCTTCTGAACAAAGGTTGCCAAGAAAACCACTTTAGGGTTGCTGTGAGTTTTCCGGGCTGTATGGCCATGTTCCAGAAGCATTCTCTCCTGATTTTTCACTATGGCAGGCATCCTCAGAGGTTGTGAGGTCTGTTAGAAACTAGGCAAGTGGGGTTTATATATCTGTGGAATGTCCAGGGTGGGGGACAGTTGGTGTTTTTATTTACAGACAACCTACACATACAGATAGATCCCTACATAAAAACTCCAACCATTACCCAGGTCAAAAAGGAAGTCCAGGTAGACCTTGCAAAAATAATCTGTGAACCCCACCTCTAGACAAGAAGCAGGCAGGCTTTGAAGCTGCAAGGCTATTCAATGATAACCAAGGTGGCTAATTGCAACATTCACACCTGTTTCAAATAGACAAGCGTTCTTTCTCCCACCCTGGACATTATCCCACAGATCTATAACCCCCACTTGACTAGTTTCCAACAGATCTCACAACCTCTGAGGATGCCTACCATAGATGCAGGCAAAATGTCAGGAGAGAATGCTTCTGGAACATGGCCATACAGCCCAGAAAACTCACAGCAACCCAAGGATTGTGGCCATGAAAGCCTTCGACAACAAACTTTGGGATCACTATAAGAAATGACATAAAGGCACACAGCAACCACAATCTGGAAATAACCAAGGACATAATTGCTAAATCAGTGATTCTCAACCTACATTTTCTTGCCCTGGTGAAGAGAGTTGGACTGGATAGCCTAAAGTATTTTCTGTTGGTCATGGGGGTTCTGTGTGGGAAGTTTGTCCCAATTCCATACTTGGTGGGGTTCAGAATGCTCTTTGATTGTAGGTGAACTATAAATTCCAGAAACTACAACTCCCAAATGTCAAGGTCTATTTTCCCCAAACTCCACCAGTGTTCACATTTGGGCATATTGAGTATTTGTGCCCAGTTTGGTCCAGATCCATCATTGTTTGAGCCCAAAGTGCTCACTGGATGTAGGTGAACTACAACTCCAAAAAATCAAGGTCAATGCCCACCAAACCCTTCCAGAGTTTTCTGTTGGTCATGGGAGTTCTGTGTGCCGAGTTTGGTTCAATTCCATCATTGGTGGAGTTCAGAATGCTCTTTGATTGTAGGTGAACTATACATCCCAGCAACTACAACTCTCCCACCCTCCAACCCCATCAGTATTCAAATGTGGGTGTAATGGGTATTTGTGCCAAATTTGGTCCAGTGAATACATCCTTTGTTGTTGTTGTTGTTCATTCGTTCAGTTGTTTCCGACTCTTTGTGACTTCATGGACCAGTCCACGCCAGAGTTCCCTGTTGGTCGTTACCACCCCCAGCTCTTTCAAGGTCAATCCAGTCACTTCAAGGATCTCATCCATCCATCTTGCCCTTGGTCAGCCCCTTTTTCCTTCCATTTCCCCCAGCATCATTGTCTTCTCTAAGCTTTCCTTTCTTCTCATGATGTGGCCAAAGGACTTCATCTTTGGCCTCTACTATCCTTCCCTCCAGTGAGCAGTTGGGCTTTATTTCCTGAAGTATAGACTGGAAGTATCACTGTTTCCTTTTGCTTTCCTCCTTTCTTAGGGAAGGCTGAGCAAAGGAAGAGAGATGCTTTTGAATTGTGGTGTTGGAGGAAAGTTTTGAGAGTGCCTTGGGCCACCAGAAGATCCAACCAGTCCATACTTCAGGAAATAAAGCCCAACTGCTCACTGGAGGGAATGATATTAGAGCAAGATGAAGTACTTTGGCCACATCATGAGAAGAAAGGAAAGCTTAGAGAAGACAATTATGCTGGGGAGAATGGAAGGAAAAAGGAAGAGGGGCCGACCAAGGGCAAGATGGATGGATGGCATCCTTGAAGTGACTGGATTGACCTTGAAGGAGCTGGGGGTGGTGACGGCCGACAGGGAGCTCTGGTGTGGGCTGGTCCATGAGGTCACGAAGAGTCAGAGACGACTGAACGAATGAACAACAAATGGACTGGTTGGATCTTCTCACTGTCCAAGGCACTCTCAGAACTTTCCTCCAGCACCACAGTTCAAAAGCATCTATCTTCCTTCTCTCAACCTGATATACATCCTGTATATCAGATATTTACATTACGATTCCTAACACTAGCAAAATTACAGTTATAAAGTAGCAACGAAAATAATGTTATGGTTGGCGGTCACCACAAGATGAGGAACTGTATTAAGGGGTCACTGCTTTAGGAAGGTTGAGAAACACTGTTCTAAATAATCTGGGAAACAAGAATATCTCTAGTTTTTTTAATCCTTCTCCAAAATTATCTCAATTGCATTATTTCTACAATGCAGATTCACTCCAGGTTAATGCCCTGTCCATATTGTTGGAAAATGGGGCCATATGCAGGTGTATCAGTCACAACAGATTTATCCAGAAGACTATATACAGGTGTGGCTCTTAACACAGACCTGCATAAAGGCTCTTTTTTGGCCAGGTATGTGGGAGACAGATACCTCCTGAAGGTAAAGTGCGTTTCACCTAAATTCATGAGTGGATAAGCAGGCTTCCTCCAGGACAATCTGAGAAGAAGATGTTATTAACTTATTCTCCAAATGGCTTCAGGGAAGGTCAACAAAACCTTTGAGGATTCTATTCCTGCAAAAAGTTGAAATGGGGTCTCTTCCTACGTTAGGATTCTATGACCTTTTTTGTCCTATGGATTTGGGGATCCATCCTGGCTGCTTGTTGCATTTCCAGAAGCAAGCATTTCCACCAAGTCCGCCATGGAAGGCCTCAGAGGTTGTCCGTGTTCTCCTCTATTTCTGAGGTCATGCTGGACAACGGAAGCTGCAGAAATCTGCCGATCTGAAGAGGCTGTAGACATTCACCAAAGGGAACATGATCAGGGCCCCCAGCAAGGACCCGAGCTGCTCCACCGCTCCGTACCAGACGAGTGCGCTGTGGCTGTGGCTCCGAAGGATGACCCCCAGCATCACCTTCACGTAACTCAGGGTCCCTGTGAAGAGCACCCAGGAAATCACCTGCCAGGGAAAAAACATTGCACATTTGTTTATCTCTCAGCTGTATAATTCCATCCTCATATCCACGTGGAAATATTCCCGAAATGATCATGGACAAAAGGTAATCATAGAACTGGAAGAAATCCCCAGGATGCTTCTGCCATGAAGAGAGACACAATCTAAGCATTCCTGACAGATGGCAATACAGCAATAACACAGTGTTTCTCAACCTGGGGGTCGGGACCCCTGGGGGGGTCGCGAGGGGGTGTCAGAGGGGTCGCCAAAGACCATAAGAAAGCACAGTATTTTCTGTTGGACATGGGTGTTCTGTGTGGGAAGTTTGGCCCAATTCTATCATTGGTGGGGTTCAGAATGCTCTTTGATTGTAGGTGAACTATACATCCCAGTAACTACAATTCACAAGTGTCAATGTCTATCTTCCCCCAAACTCCACCAGTATCCACATTTGGGCATATTAAGTATCTGTGCCAAGTTTGGTCCAGATCCATCATTGTTTGAGTCCACAGTGCTCTCTGGATGTAGGTGAACTACAACTCCAAAACTCAAGGTCAATGTCCACCAAACCCTTCCAGTATTTTCTGTTGGTCATGGGAGTTCTGTGTGCCAAGTTTGGTTCAATTTCATCGTTGGTGGAGTTCAGAATGCTCTTTGATTGTAGGTGAACTATAAATCCCAGCAACTACAACTCCCAAATGACAAAATCAATCCGCCCCAACCCCACCAGTATTCAAACTTGGGTGTATTGGGTATTTGTGCCAAATTTGGTCCAGTAAATGAAAATACATCAGATATTTACATTACAATTGGCATCAGTAGCAAAATGACAGTTATGAAGTAGCAATGAAAATGATTTTATAGTTGGGGGTCACCACAACATGAGGAACTCTATTAAGGGGTCGTGGCAATAGGAAGGAACCACTGCAATACAGGTTCTATTTAAAACCCTCCAGAGGAGACTTCACCAGACTCAAAGACAGTAGCCTGTGTGGTCAATAACAAACAAATGTTTCAGTGGTTATTACTAAATTGTGGGGAGGGTTTCTAAAATATCGTAAGGAGTCCACATCATAACTATGCCAAAGTACTCTTCCAGCAGTCACCTGCCAATCCCTCTCCAATGCCAGAAATACAGCTTAATGGTGTAACATTAGAAAATGTTAGCAATTTCTGCTACCTTGGCTTGCTACTCTCCACAAAAGTCAACATTAACACTGAAATTCAACATCGCCTGAGCTCTGCGAGCGCAGCATTTTTCTGAATGAAGCAGAAAGTGTTTAAGGACCGGGACATCTGTAGGGATACCAAGGTGCTTGTTTATAAAGCTATTGTCCTCCCAACCCTGCTATATGCCTGTGAAACGTGGACTGTCTACAGACATCACATGCAACTCCTGGACGATTCCATCAGTGCTGCCTCAGAAAAATCCTGCAAATCTCTTGGGAAGACAGTGTACTGGAAGAAGCAAAGACCACCAGCACTGAAGCAATGGTCCTCTGCCATCAACTCCGCTGGACTGAATGCCACGTTGTCCAAATGCCCAAAGATCACCATCTCCCAAAGCAGTTACTGTACTCTGAATTCAAGAACGGGAAATGGAATGATCCGGAAGCTGAAGCTGGTGCAAAATGCGGTGGCTCATCTTCTTGCCGGGGTGCCAGCAAGGTGTCATATCACCTCAATTCTACAACAGCTGCACTGGCTTCCGATTGAGTACCGGATCACTTTCAAGGTGCTGGTACTAACCTTTAAGGCTTTATATAGTCTGGGGCCGGCGTACCTGAGGGCCCGCTTATCCCCCTACCAACCCCAGAGATTACTCTGGTCTGAAGACAAAAAATTGCTCATGCTCCCTAACATCCGGACCTATCATCTGTCATCTACATAGGCATAGAGCCTTCTCGATTGTAGCCCCTTATTTATGGAATGCCTTGCTGGTTGAAACTTGAACCATCTGAGAGCTACTTGCTTTTCGGAAAGCCTGCAAAACTTTCCTTTTCTGGCAAGCTTTTGAAGGGTGTTCAACCCGGGCTACGTCTGTCCTCGCTGCCTATTGTTATTGTTATGGTTATTTTTAAAGCTAATTGTATTGTTTTAATCTGTTTCTGTAAACCGCTCCAAGCCAAATTGGGAGTAGCGGTATACAAGTTAAATAAATAAATAAATAAATAAATGTTGTTGGACAGGAAAAGATATTTAAAGATGAGCTTAAAGCCAACCTCAAAAACTATTGCATAGACACTGAGAACTGGGAAGCCCTGGCACTTGAGCGCTCCAGCTTGAGGTCAGCTGTGACCAGCAGTGCTGCAGACTTAGAAGAGGCATGAATGGAGGGCGAAAGGGAGAAACATGCCAAGAGGAAGGCATGCCAAGCCAACCCTGACTAGGACCACCTTTCATCTGGAAACCAATGTCCCCACTGTGGGAGAACATGCGGATCCAGAATAGGGTTCCAGAGTCACCTACAGGCCCACATCTGGAGGACCATCATCCTCGAGCTACGAGGGATCACCTAAGTATGTAAAAGTAGGTATACCGAAGATAATGAATTTTTGTGTTGCTGTGAGTTTTCCAGGCTGTATGGCCATGTTCCAGAAGGTTTCTCCTTAATTTCATGTTCCAGAAAACATGTTTCATGTTTTGTCGAGCGGTTGCTCCTGATACGACAAAAAAAAATGTTCCAGAAGCAACCCTTTGATTCCATCCATGAAAGTCTTCAACAACACATTGGACATCTCTATGGGGAGAAATTGTTCCAAGACACATGAAGACTGGAAAAACTAAGGACCAGGATAGCACATCTACTGTGCTCCCTGACTCTCCTTCTACGCTGCAGAGACACAGATACTATCCCACAATTTCGTGTAGCCAAAAGGACTAGGAGAGGATGTGTCTGGAACTTGGCCATAGAGCCTAGAAAACTCACAGCAACCTATTAATTCCGGACATGAAAGCCTTCGACAACATAACAATTTTTTTCATTCCCTTTTCGTTTAATAATTGGGCCAATGGGGAGACTTCAGGGGCTCCTAACTCCCTCATTGTTGCAGGTATCAAGGTGAAACTTGCTGCATTTCTAGCATACATTTACCACTGTTAGCCATCCAAGTTTCAGAATGTTTCACTCATCCACTGATTTTTGGTGAAATTTTATAATTTTTCAAACAACATTTTTTAAAAATCCTACAAGGGCTATCGCCTTGATTTTCTCTACTATGCCACAAGAGGGCATTATTCTCCCAACATTTCGGAAAGATTCACACACCTGCTGATTTTGGCGGACTTCTCCAACTTCTGAATTTTCCTCCCATTCCAGCACAGATTTACTATCAGTCCTCTTTGCAGATTCAATAATTTATTGGAACTCTGACTGCTGCTGGCTACTGCTATGGATGGGCAATAGCTCTCCCCTACCGCATTTGGGCTTTCTGATGTGAGCAGAATTCTGAGAAATGTAATTTAGGGTACAGTCTTTTGGATTCTCTGCCGCATCTTTTCCACCCCAGAATTATATTATATTATATTATATTATATTATATTATATTATATTATATTATATTATATTATATTATATTATATTATGGCATTTATATGCCACCCTTCTCGCCCCAAAGGGGACTTAGAGTGGCTTACAAGATATTTATTTATTTATTTATTTATTTAGCAGTTTTGTATACCGGTCTTCTCACCTCCATTCGAGGGACTCAGGCCGGTTTCCAACATCAATATTACAGACAGTCATTAAAACATCATATTCTAAATCACACTAAAACATTAAAATAGCAAATACAGTCATATGATTACAGTGGTCAGTCGTCATCAAAAATCATTATTCATCGTCATCCATCCATATCACAGGATCATGGCTCATTCGTCGAATGCCAATCCCCAAAGCCAAGTTTTCACCTGTTTCCTGAACGTTAAGATAGAAGGGGCAGTTCTGATCTCCAGTGGAAGGGAGTTCCAGAGTCGAGGGGCCACCACCGAGAAGGCCCTGTCTCTCGTCCCCACCAGCCACGCCTGTGAGGCCGGTGGGATCGAGAGCAGGGCCCCTCCAGATGATCTTAGCAATCTTGATGGCTCATAGGGGAGGATACGTTCGGACAGGTAAATTGGGCCGGAGTCGTTTAGGGCTTTATAGGTTAAGACCAGCACTTTGAATTGTGCTCGGAAGCTGACTGGCAGCCAGTGGAGCTGGCGCAACAGAGGAATAGTATGCTCCCTGTACCCCGCTCCCGTTAGTAGTCTGGCTGCCGCACATTGGACTAATTGAAGCTTCCGGGCAGTCTTCAGAGGCAACCCCACGTAGAGAGCGTTGCAGTAATCTAAACGGGATGTAACCAAAGTGTGGACCACCGTGGCCAAGTCAGACTTCCCAAGGTACGGGCGCAGCTGGCGCTCAAGTTTTAATTGTGCAAAAGCTCCCCTGACCACCGTTGAAACCTGCGGTGAGTCCAGGATTACTCCCAGGCTGCGAACCTGCGCCTTCAGGGGGAGGGTAACCCCGTCAAGCACAGATATATATACATACAATATATTATATTATTAGCATCACATCAGAAGAAAGGGGCTGCCAGCTTTGAAGCCTTAATGTGTCTCTCTCAGTCTCCCTTCCCAGCTCTCTTGCTCTCCCAATGGCAACAGGCAACCCAGCTCTCCTTAATTGTTGTCCATAGACCCTCCTGGTCATGTTGCCAACATGGCTGCATGGGCGTCTTTTACCTTCCTGCCATGTTTTAGAACTGCTAGGTTGACAGGAGCTAGGGCTAACTGCCAAGCTTCCAGTCAGCAAGTTTTCCTGCAGCTAGCAATTTAACCTGCTGTGCTACCACAGCCCTTTTTGAGTTTGTCACCCTTGGTGTAGGGTCACCAGAAGTTGCATATGATGCTGGCATTTTTTCCTTTTTTCTCAGTTTCCAATGATTGTCTTTTGCAGGATTTCACAGCCAACTGCAAACACAGCAAAGACAACAACAGCAGGAAAATTCAGTCATGTGGGACATATGAAGAAGGGTAGTTACTTACAATGAGGGCGTCCCCCCAGTCCGAGTGATGCAAGACAGGACATGGGCTCAGGGCAGCCATGCTCATGTTATAGGCTCCAAAGGCTGTTCCGGTGGCTGACAAAATGCCCAGGACCGTGAGAGACCTGAACAGGAAGAGGAAGCAAAATATCGAGGCAGGGTGCTGTCAGATACAGGCCTTTCCCATTTCACAAAAACAGATCACTTTGACGTAATATAAAGTAAACCGGAAGGCATAATAAACATAATCAATGTCAGTGGTTCTTAACCGTCTTAATGCTGTGACCCCTTAATACAGTCCCTCATGTTGTGGTGACCTCCAACCATAATATTATTTTTTACTTCATAACTGCAATTTTGCTACTGTTATTAATTGTAATGTAAAATATCTGATATGCAGGATGTATTTTCATTCACTGGACCAAATTTGGCACAAATATCAATACACCCAAATTTGACTGGTGAGGTTGGGGTTGGGGGGATTGATTTTGTCATTTGGAGTTGTAGTTGCTGGGATTTATAGTTCACCTACAATCAAAGAGCATTCTGAACTCCACCAATGATGGAATTGAACCAAACTTGGCACACAGAACTCCCATGACCAACAGAAAATACTGGAAGGGTTTGGTGGGCATTGGCCTTGAGTTTTGGAGTTGTAGTTCACCTACACTGAGAGAGCACTGTGGACTCAAACAAGGATGGATCTGAATCAAACTTGGCACAAATACTCAATATGCCCAAATGTGAACACTGGTGGAGTTTGGGGAAAACAGACCTTGACCTTTGAGAGCTGTAGCTGCGGGAATTTATAGTTCGCCTACAATCAAAGAGCCCCTTGAACCCCACCAATGGGGGCCAAACTTCCTTCACAGAACTCCCATGACCAACAGAAAATACTGCAGGGATTTGGGAGGAATTGACAGTGATTTAGGGAGATGCAGTTCACCTACCTCCGGAGTGCACTGTGTTTCTAAGACCATCAGAAATATGTGATTTCTGATGGTCTTTGGAGACCCCTCTCACGATCCTCCCAGGTGTCCTGACCCCCAGGTTGAGAAACACTAATCTATTTATTAAATAGCACATTTCATGTGCTATTTCCCCATTGGTTTAAACACAGAATATATTACTCTATTCACTGTCTTTTTCTTCTCTTTGGTTAGGTACTTTCTATTTCCTGAAACAAAAGCCATCGCTCATCACCAAACAAGATAGTCCTGAATTGCAAGTTAATGAGATTTGGAGTGTCATCCTCCACCAAGTAATTCATTTTCTAATACGCAGTTTTCTCATATTACTGCAAATCCCTATTACATATATGGACATTAAAACATGTACAATGTACATAAAGTAAAGGTAAAGGTTTTCCCCTGACATTAAGTCTAGTCGTTTCCAACTCTGGGGGTTGGTGCTCATCTCCATTTCTAAGCCGAAGAGCCGGCGTTGTCCGTAGACACCTCCAAGGTCATGTGGCCAACATGACTGCAGAGAGCACCATTACCTTCCCACCAGAGCAGTCCCTATTGATCTACTCACATTTGCGTGTTTTCAAACTGATAGGTTGGCAGAAGCTGGGGCTAACAGCAGGTGCTCACGCCGGGGACTCTGGGGGTTGGTGCTCATCTCCATTTCTAAGCCGAAGAGCTGGCGTTATCTGTAGACACCTCCAAGGTCATGTGGCCAGTATGACTGAATGGAGTGCCATTACCTTCCCACTGGAGCGGTACCTATTGATCTCCTCACATTTGCATGTTTTCAAACTGCTAGGTTGGCAGAAGCTGGGGCTAACAGCAGGTGCTCACACCGCTCTCCGGATTCGAACCTTTTGATCAGCAAGTTCAGCAGCTCAGCGGTTTAACCCACTGTGCCACTGGGGGCTCCACAATGTATGTAACTACAGCTGAATATAGGGTAAAATGGCAAAATACCCAAAAATGTTTGATATAGTTGCAGTAACCAAGATGGGACTTGGCAGAACAATAGAGAACCAATGTGGTCATACATAGCAAAAGCACACAGCAAAACCATATTGAGTATAGTAGGGCCTACAATAGGATCCTGACAATGTTGGGCTGACTTTGGAGATGGGAAGTCCAATGTAAATAATTAAATCCTTCCCAACTGAGTCTCAAATTGAGAGCATGTTGGAAGCAAAGAGTGCTTGTAAAGCAATTAGTAAAATGTCTAGATAACGTCTGTCCTTTGTATTCACTTCTCTGTATTTTTAGGCTTTTCTTCCTTTTTACCTGTAAAGGTCACTTCCTCCTTTTCTCAAGAAGTTACATACAGTCTCCATTTCAATGAATTCTGGGTTGGGCTTGTGATCTCTTCCAACTCTAGGATTCCAAGGCTGCATAGAATAAATGTAGTTTGACACCACTTTAACTGCCATGACTAGGTGGTATGCAATCCTGGGAGTTGTAGTTCTACCAAATCGTTCACCTTCCCTGCCAAAAAGGGCTGGTAAGTAAAGGTAAAGGTTTTCCCCTGACATTAAGTCCAGTTGTGTCCGACTCTGGGGGTTGGTGCTCCTCTCCATTCCTAAGCCTTGGAGGTGTCTACAGCGTTGTCTGTAGACACCTCCAAGGTCATGTGGCCAGCATGACTGCATGAAGCTCTTACCTGCACGGTGAAGCGGTACCTATTGGTCTACTCACATTTGCATGTTTTCAAACTACTAGGTCGGCAGAAGCTGGGGCTGACAGTGGAAGCTCACGCTGCTCCCTGCATTTGAACCTGTGACCTTTCGGTCAGCAAGTTTAGCAGCTCAGCAGTTTAACCCACTGCATAGCTGGGGGCTCCATAAAAGGGCTGGTACTTCACTAAATTGCAAATCCCAGGGCAGTTAAAGTGGTTTCCAGGCACATTTCTGCAGCTTGTTGTTTGCTCCAGAGACTAGAACAAGATCCAAGATCAGGAGTGCTTCAGTGGAGCATTGCTTTATGGCAGAAGAGGGGTGGCTGGTTGGTCTGGTGAACCCCTCTCTGTTTTAAAGACCTCAGGAAACTGAAAAAGGGATTTCTGGCTCACAAACCTTATTTAGAAGAGAAGGATTAGGCTAAATATATAAGCTAGAGTCAAAGTGAACAATTCCTGCCACCCCATATAGTCATTTTGTGATCTGCTTCATCTCTACAGATGTGATCTGGTGTCTTTAGCTTGTTGGTGGCCCTTGGTGCCACAGAGCTGGCACCCCTCCCAAACATGTCACTGATTGGGTTGTTGTAGGTTTCTTGGGCTATATGGCCATGTTCTAGAGGCATTTTCTCCTGACGTTTTGCCTGCATCTATGGCAAGCATCCTCAGAGGTAGTGAGGTGAGGATACTTGCCATAGAGGCTGGTGAAACATCAGGAGAGAATGCCTCTAGAACATGGCCATATAGCCCGAAAAAAACCTACAACAACCCAGTGATTCCAGCCATGAAAGCCTTCGACAATACATGTCACTGATGGTTAGCACTAAAATTAGTATCCCTCCTAATTACGGTACTTGAGGAAAGCTATGATAGCCCAATCTGGATTGACAACCCCAGATGTGGAAAATGCCTAAAAACTCTAAACAGAAAGGATTTCTGGCAAGAGAAGGGCACGCACCTGCTGGGCAAAAATGTGGCGATGGTGCATGCCAAAGGGTTGGCTATGGAGCTCAGTGTGGCAGCCAGGTGGTAGGCCATGTTGCTATAAGGCAAGCACGAGTAACTTTGCACTGAGGGAAGGACCCCATTGGTCAAGACGTTCACCCATGCCAAAACTACGTAGATGAAGATGAAACTGGCTCGAGAGTAGACAACCTTTCCTGGATCTAAACCATCATATTCTTTGGTGCCATTGGCCACTTTGGCATCCTTGGTGGAGCTTGAGAAGATCCCTTTGTCTGATGTTTTTTGTCCATCCACAGGGATCTTCTGGATGCTGTTGAGAGTGATCTCGCTGGCACAGAGGTCCTCCTTGGAGAGCTCCCAGACCTTGGGCAGTCGGTTGAGGAAAAAGAAGGCCATCAGGCAGGAAAACATCATGACAGAGAGGATAATGAAGAAGACCAGGCTGGAGAAGTTGGCTGGAGAGTACTGGGTTTCCATGTGGTGGAGGACATCTCCAGAAGTCCCGTTGGCCAAGCTGACATTCCCAGTCGTTGCATTATTGGGCATTGCCACCTGGACACATTTTGCAATCCCTGCTCCTTGGGCCAAGGCAAAGAGAGCCGGGATCAATCCACTGAGCCCTTCACCAATGAAAAAAGTGGTCACGTAGCGAGGGTGGAGGCGTGCCATGAAAGGTAAGAAGGTGACGGAAGAGGTGCAGTCTACCAGTGAGAGGAAGAAGGCCAGGATGAAGAAGGCAGTGCTGTGCATCTGCCCACCCACTGGAGTGGTGTAATGCCAGAGGAACGCCAAGAGGAAGCAAGCCACAGCTCCTGTGGAAACCACGACGTAGATGACGGGCACTTCGCTCAGCATGCCGGGCTTCAGCTTGTGCATGAGAGTGATGAAAAGCGGGCCAACATTGGCCAGCTGGATGATGATGATGAGGAATGAAGGAAGGTACCAGCCCTCTGGGAGGTGGTTTACCAGCAGTGGGAGTTCGACCCACACGCCGTTGATGGCCATCCAAGACCCTGTCCCAAAGATGCAGGCCAGAACGTGTGTGAGCCACGCCATCGCTCTTCCCCGGTGAGGATCTCAATCCCTGTTGGAGGAGAGAGGCTGGTGAGAGATGGTACAATATCACAAGCAGTCCCTTGAGTGGAGAGATATGGGATCCTCTCCACTCTATAGCACTCTATGCTGGTAAGTATGAAGGAGCTGGGGGTGGTGATGGCTGACAGGGAGCTCTGGCGTGAGCTAATCCATGAGGTCGCGAAGAGTCGGAAATGACTGAACGAATGAACAACAACAAATGTATGTAGCATTATGTATGCATTTACTGCCCACCTTTTCTCCAGGATTGGGAGACAAAACAGTTCACAACTTCAGAAACAACACAGTTAAAAACATACAAAAGTCCAAACTTAAAATAGAATTCAGCTCATCACAATTATTCAAACAATTCAGCTAAAATACAATTTTAAAATTTGAACTAAAAAGCTGTTATAAAGCTCTCAGCTAAAACAATGCAGCAGCCTCTGGCCCCTTGTTTAAAAACTTTTTGCTGTCTGAATAAAAAAGTTTTATGAGTTGTGAACATAAGAGAAAGGAAGACCAACAATCAAAAAAGCTATCCATAATGCTGACAGAAAATTGCACACACTTGAGGCAATAACTAAAGAAATGTCAAGGAGGAAAGTGCAAAAATGAGTTTACAGTTTAACATTAACAAAAATAATGGCTGTAGATGGTTTAGATTGTTTTAAAGCAGATGACAAAACTGTTGAAATGTCAGTTCAAGATTTTCCTTACTCAGTCATTGATCAGAGCAGAGACTGCAATCAAAAGCCAGGATGAAGAACTTGATGAAGTTTTCTGCCAACAGTTGACCAAACAAGCACAAAGAAGAGATATAGTAGTCATGGGCAATTTCAACTATCCTGATATTTGCTGGAAAACAAACTTGGCCAAGAGTACAAAGTCCAACAAATTCCTCACTTGCCTTGCAGACAATTTCATGGTCCAGAAGGTAGAAGAGGCAACAAGGGGGTCGGCTACTCTAGATCTCATCCTAACAAATGTGGAGGATCTGATCGATGCAGTTGAAGTGATGTGTAACAGTTTTTCTCTTTAAGCTCCTACTCCTGAGGAGCGAATTGTATTCTCAATAAAGATATATTTTAAAAAAAGAAGAAGAAGTAGTCGGATCCTTAGGGGCAAGTGACCATGTGCTCCTGAAGTTTGAGGTAGAAAGGAAGGCTGAAACTAAGACAAGTCAAATCCGCATTTTGGACTTTAGGATAGGAAATACTGAGCAGCATTCCGTGGACACAGATACTAAAAGACAAGGGAGTTACGGATGGATGGGAGTTTTTCAAGAGTGAAATACTCAAGATGCAATTGCAAGTAGTGCCAACAAAGAGAAAAAATAGGACAAGTGCAAAGAAGCCAGAATGGATGTTCAAAGAACTTCTAACTGTGCTAAGACTCAAAAGAGACATGCACAAGAAGTGGAAAAAGGGAGAAATCACCAAATAAGAATTCAAACAAATAGCCAACTCCTGTAGGGAAAAGATTCACAAGGCTAAAGCACAAAATGAGCTCAGGCTTGCTAGGGACATTAAAAACAATAAAAAGGGCTTATTTTCTTATGTTAGTAGAAAAAGGAAGAACAAGGAAGTGATAGAGCCTCTTTGAGGAGAAGATGAGGCAATGCTGACAGGGGATAGGGAAAAGGCAGAACTACTTAATGCCTTCTTTGCCTCAGTCTTCTCACAAAAAGAAAGTCATCTTCAAGCTCAGCAAGATGGAGTGGATGAGGGATTAGAGGACATCCAATCCCAAATTGGGAAACAAGTTGTCCAGGAATACCTGGCCGCTCTAAATGAGTTGAAGTTTCTGGGGCAAGATCAACTACACCCAAGAGTATTGAAGAAGCTAGCAGAAGTCATCTTGGAACCATTGGCAATCATTTTCGAGAGTTCTTGAAGAACGGGAGAAGTTCCAGCAGATTGGAGGAGAACCAATGTGGTCCCAATCTTCAAGAAGGGAAAAAAGGATGACCCAAACAACTACCGTCCGGTCAGCCTCACGTCGATACCAGGCAAGATTCTGGAAAAGATTGTTAAGGAAGTGGTCTGCAAACCCCGGAGTTTCGGGGTGCGGTGTCATCTGTACGCAGATGATGTCCAACTCTGTCACTCCTTTCCACCTGCTACTAAGGAGGCTGTCGAGGTCCTGAACCGGTGCCTGGCCGCTGGTAATGGTCTGGATGAGGGCGAACAAACTGAAATTAAATCCAGACAAGACAGAGGTACTCCTGGTCAGTCGCAAGGCCGAACAGGGTATAGGGTTACAGCCTGTGCTGGACGGGGTCGCACTCCCCTTGAAGGCGCAGGTTCGCAGCTTGGGTGTGACCCTGGATTCATCTTTGAGCCTGGATCCCCAGGTTTCAATGGTGACCAGGGGAGCATTTGCACAGCTTAGGCTCGTGCGCCAGCTGCGCCCGTACCTTGGGAAGTCTGACTTGGCCACGGTGGTACACGCTCTGGTCACATCCCGCCTTGACTACTGCAACGCTCTCTACGTGGGGCTGCCCTTGAAGACGGCCCGGAAGCTTCAGCTAGTCCAGCGCGCGGCAGCCATGTTACTAACGGGAGCGGGACGCAGGGAGCACACAACGCCCTTGTTGTTCCAGCTCCATTGGCTGCCGATCTGCTACCGGGCCCAATTTAAGGTGCTGGTGTTATCCTACAAAGCCCTAAACGGTTCCGGCCCAAAATACCTTTCGGACCGCATCTTGGCCTATGAGCCCACGAGGGCCTTGAGATCGTCTGGGGAGGCCCTTCTCTCGATCCCGCCTGCCTCACAGGCACGTCTGGCGGGGACGAGAGAGAGGGCCTTCTCGGTGGTGGCCCCCCGGCTGTGGAACACCCTCCCTGTTGACATCAGACAGGCGCCCTCCCTTATGGCTTTCCGTAAGAGCCTAAAGACCTGGCTATTTGAGAAGGCATTTAACTGAGTGCTATACTAATTGGTAATGACAACTGGAACGGGAAATGGATTATGAGATTGGTTATGATTCTGATGTGACGGAGCGGATTAGTTAGTGTAATTTAGATTAATGTGTATTTGATATGTTGGTTTTTTGTGGTGCTTTATTGTAACTGTTTTTTAATATGTTGTACACCGCCGCGAGTCGCCCTAGGGCTGAGAGCGGCGGTCAACAAATGCAGCAAAAAAATAAATAAATAAATAAACACTTAGAAACAAATGTGGTCATTGCTAATAGTCAACATGGATTTATAAAAAAAAAAGTCATGCCAGACTCATCTGATCTCTTTTTTTTATAGAGTTACAAGCTGCGTAGATGCGGGGAATGCCGTGGATGGAGCGTACCTGGATTTCAGTAAGGCCTTCGACAAGGTCTCCCATGACCTTCTGGCAAACAAACTAGTCCAATGTGGGCTAGGCAAAACTACGGTGAGATGGATCTGTAATTGGTTAAATGGATGAACCCAGAGGGTGCTCACCAATGCTTCCTCTTCATCTTGGAAAGAAGTAACGAGCGGGCATCACAATTGAAGGGAGATGTTGACAAGCTGGAATGTGTCCAGAGGAGGGCGACTAAAATGATTAAGGGTCTGGAGAACAAGCCCTTATAGGAGCGGCTTAAAGAGCTGGGCATGTTTAGACTAAAGAAGAGAAGGCTGAGAGGAGACATGATAGCCATGTATAAATATGTGAGGGGAAGCCACAGGGAGAAGGGAGCAAGCTTGTTTTCTGCTGCCGGGGAGATTAGGATGCAATGGAACAATGGCTTCAAACTACAAGAAAGGAGATTCCATCTGGACATTAGGAAGAACTTCCTGACTGTAAGAGCTATTCAACAGTGGAACTCTCTACCCCAGAGAGTGGTGGAGGTTCCTTCTTTGGAGGCTTTTAAGCAGAGGCTGGATGTCCATCTGTCAGGGGTGCTTTGAATGCAATTTTCCTGCTTCTTGGCAGAATGGGGTTGGACTGGATGGCCCATGAGGTCTCTTCCAATTCTTTGATTCTATGATTCTATGGGGGGAAAAACAAAGATATAGGATTTTGAAGAGAACCTACAAAGGAATTAGAAAAGATCCTCAAGTGTAAACATATGTCTTTGAATACTAAAGTTGTCCATGCCATCACATTTCCAGATTCTATGGAAGCTAAAAAGTGAAGAAACCTGAAAGAAAGAAATGCAATTCATTTGAGGTGTGGTGCTGGAGGAGATTTCTGCAGATACTATGGACTGTGACACAGAATAGAATAGAATAAATTGTCATTGTAGATTTTACAAGGAAATTAAATGCTTTCCCCAGCACACATCACAAAAACAACACATCCAACCACCACCGCATTGCCCCCAATGCCACATTAATGCAAAACCATGGAGTTCAATATAATTACAGCTCTAGAATAAAAGCTATCTCTCAGTCTGTTTGTCCTTGTCTTTGTCATAGAATCATAGAATCAAAGAGTTGGAAGAGACCTCATGGGCCATCCACTCCAACCCCATTCTGCCAAGAAGCAGGAATATTGCATTCAGATCACCCCTACAGATGGCCATCCAGCCTCTGTTTAAAAGCTCCCAAAGAAGGAGCCTCCACAACACTCCGGGGCAGAGAGTTCCACTGCTGAACGGCTCTCACAGTCAGGAAGTTCTTCCTCATGTTCAGATGGAATCTCCTCTCTTGTAGTTTGAAGCCATTGTTCCACGTCCTAGTCTCCAGGGAAGCAGAAAACAAGCTTGCTCCCTCCTCCTCCCTGTGGCTTCCTCTCACATATTTATACATGGCTATCATATCTCCTCTCAACCTTCTCTTCTTCAGGCTAAACATGCCCAGCTCCTTAAGCCGCTCCTCATAGGGCTTGTTCTCCAGACCCTTGATCATTTTAGTCACCCTGTTCCACCTGCCAGAAAGGTGATTCTGAGTAAAACTTTCTGTTGGTAAGCACTGTTAAACAGTGGAATAGCCTACCTTGGATGTTGGTGGGCTTATCTTTGCCGGAAGTTTTAAAACTGAGGTTAGATGACCATTTTCAGGGATATTTCAGCT